AGTCAATATTTTATTGACCTCTGTGGTGTCACAACATGGCAACGTTTCGGAACCCGTTTTGACCCTTCATCAGTCAAACTACTCAGTAAAATCAAATCAAACAAATCAGTATAAATCATATTTAAACTGATTTGCAGAGGCATCCGTGTTCGCTTGGCACCCACCCGATACTTGAGGGTATTGTCCTGTCAGGTGTGCAATGGGTTTCTTTTGATTATTGAGCTCTGGTCAAAACAGCTGCACATAATAAAAGGAGTGGCTAAACAGATTTGCACATAAAAAACAATGGTTTTTTAATCATTTTTACCAACATTAAGCAATATGTATTTCCAGGTATAGATGTAGCAGCTTCAATAAAGGGAAATTTGCATTTTAATTTGACAGCGCTTATACTGAGTATTGTAAGTGGAATTCATATAAACACAATATTTAAAGGACATATTAGTTAAATACTGGGGTGTCCAACTTAAAAGGGCCACTTGTATAGAAAAGTGATGTGTTTCATCTAAATTACCCTATTTTTTTTATTTTTTAAATTAAAATATCAGGTGACTGCCATATGTATGGTAAAACTGGAAAAAGATGGGCTTTTTGCTAACCTGCTGCCGTATCTCCATTTTACACAAGCCTGTATGAAAGCCACACGCTGCAACAGACACTGTTGTTCAGTGATTTCTGGGACGTGACGTTCAGCTTAGAGCAAAGACAGCAATACTAAACCGTCCCATCATTGGTATCAGTGGCAACATTGATAAACCTCCCCTTCATTGATGTCAATATCAGCGATAGTAACCCCCACTTCAGTAGTGTCAGTAACAGTGTCAGCAATAATAAACCATGGTTTCAGTAATTGTGTCAGCAATAATAATCATACTTTCATTGGTATCAGTGGCAACAATAATAACCCCCACCCCCCATACCTTAACTTTTATTACTGTCATTGGCAGCACTTTTAGCTCATCCCCTCCCTTCATTGGTGTCAGTGCCAGCAATAATAAACCCCCTCTCTACTGGTGATCAGTGGTTATGTACCACACATTCACAAGCTGCTCTCGCCCTCCCCAATGATGTTGAACTGGATCTATACTATCCCTTTTGGGAAAGAGATCACTCCACTTGACAGGCATTTCTGTATGCCAACATTCGGCACCTTCTTCTACCCTGCATTGTGTCCTGGATCCTGCAGTAGAGCCCCACAGGACACACTGTGAGACAGTGTCCAATATCCTGGGACTGCCCCGCAGGAGCCAGGATTATTAGAAAATACGTATCTAGTGCTTTGTGGGCCACAAAAGAAGGTCAAAGGCTGCATGTGGCACATGGACCACTAGTTGAACAGCCCTAATTTAAATATACTCTTTTTGAGGGTCCTGGTGTAGTTAAGTATTTTTTTTCTACATTATTATAAGTAATTGTTTTATTATGAACCACTTTACGAAAGGATGTGCTGGATAAAGTTTTGGCAAAATTAAGACATTCTTGAGCTTTCTGTTAGATTCTCAGCAAAATGTGCATCCCTTGTGACCTAACATGTCAGTGACTTGAGAAACAGTAAAAGGTCACCACTTATTTCCATAAAATCCACTGCTTCACATTTAGAAAGGAAAGAGAGATACTATATTCTATTTTAACATACAGTTAGCTCTATGCCTACTATAAGACTAGATTATTGTCTTGCTCAGCACTGGTGTACAGTATAAATGGGAAGACACGGTGTGGGGGATGGAGCATAATCCTGCTTTAAACAAAATCATTGGTGGAACAGTGTTCTTAAATTACCTTAGCCCTGTGTGGCCATCAAATGTAATCAAAACATGGAGGGAAAGTGGTAATTGGGCTGTAGGAAAATTAATTCCTAGGCATCTGCCGTGTGATCAATGATTTCCAGAGCCACAGGGAACCCCTGCACTTTAAAATGTTTTAGCCACCTGGTGCGAAAGCCTTGATGCAAGCTCTGTATAAAGCTTGATGATTAAATTATGGTACTGGATGGCAAAAATATTATACCCCAGTGCCACCATAAAGTTATTTTCATATTACATGACAGCACTCATTTATAATATGCTACTTATTCCTAGTAGCATGGCAGGTCTTTTGCATAATAAATGTCACTATTGGTTGTTTAACAGTTGGAGTTGTAATCATTTAAATTGAAACATTCTACTTTCTCACTAAGCATAGTAAACAGTGGATAATCCAGATACTCATATGACAAGCTAGTTCCTTTATTTCTCAACGGATGAGCGCATACTACCTCCAGCGGTATACACATATTGGACACTCGCACTAGAGCCAGCAATGGCACCCTATAAAAATGCTAGACTCAGTGTGAGTAGCTCTAGTGACAGGGTTTGATATGTTGTTACCCTTGGAATTAGTAATACCTGTATTGCCTACAACCAAGGATAGGCACTATAGGCATACTCTTCTACCAGAATGTAGGATTGGGCAACAAGTACCAAAGGTTTGATTTAGGTAGCAGTATGGCAAGCTGTATGGGTGACCGGTTTCAGTTTACTTGCTGATCAGCTCTAGAATATTTCAATCAATATTTTTTTTTGGGTGGGAGGGAGAGTGCAGGTCCTGGAATCGAGACCCACTAATGTTAAAATGGTTCTGAAGGAGAAATTGCAGGGCTCTCAATAGAAACGGAACAAATCTCGCATTTCTGATAAATTATGTATATTTATGTATATCTAAGTAACATTATTAATGTGTTGCCCAGCATATGTCAGGTCCTACAAACCTGTCACATTGTAGAAAGTCAGCTGAACACTTCGTTTAAAGTTACATAAACTGCAAGGTATAGTCATAAATTGCCTTTGAAACAAATGCATTGAAATGTATCAACCAGATTGCAGTGTACAAGTGAATTACTCATGATACAATATAGGAGTTTAAAGGTAAGATGCGATGAGTTCCGAGCTGGCCTTCTACGTTACGCCTTAGGGAACCCTTGCCACCAGATATTACTTTCCTTTTTTTTTTGTAAACAAAAGTCTCTTTCAGGCATTTTTTTTTTGTAAAACAAAAAATCTAAAGCTAAATATAATCATGCTTGTTGTACTCTATTGGATATCGCCATATCTGCAACAGAAGTGCGATAGTGACTAGATAGAGAATGCTTGTATGTTTGTGAATAAATAGTGTATGTGCAGCAACTGATCTCACAAAACAATAATAACCTGCTGAAATATTGTTTGGTGAGCTAGATGATGCAGTCAGTTGAACACTTAATCGATGCACAACTACAGCTCCTGAGCAGAAAGTTATCTTCTACATTACATGTGTAGTTGACTGCTTCATGTGGTACACATCTGTCATATTTGGAAGTCACTGTAAAGCTAAGGAGAAGGTGTGAAGGTGTATGTGTATGTGTGTGTGTGTGTGTGTATATATATATA